TTTTACATAAGTTTTTTCAATATTTTATCTCAATATGATCACAGTTTTATAAAAGTTAATAATTTTGTAAAAATTTTATAATAATTTTATGTACATTATTTTGCTAAAAATATCTCTCATATCATAGGATGTTCAGGGTGTTCACTTTTTAAGTCTACTTTACATTGAAATGAGTAAAGTTTTACTTCAGGTTGACATCAAATTGACGTAATCTTAACACAATTTGATGGCAACATGACAAAAAAGTATCGTTGATATTGAAGTTTTTTAACAACAATCTGATATACATTTTTTGAATTTGTGCTGTGTGGATAACATCAGCCCTATTGTTAGGGTAGTACATGGTAGTTGCCTATTCTTCGTAACTCTACTAAGTTTGACTAGAACTACATTCTACTAGAATGGAGTGTCTTCTATTTCCTTATTGCATTATGACATTGTTTATTCACACATTTACTCAACATTATGATCTATTGCCGCTATATTGAAGGGATCACCCTTTCTTAGGGAGCATTAGGATTGTAAAACAATTAGCCACAGTTTTTTTTTTAACCATTGTGATTATCAAGAAATTGCCTACAAACTAAAAGTAAATGAACTTAATTAGCAAGTTTCATCTGTAATAAATATAAATATTTTGAATTATAAATCAATGGAGTAGTATTTTTTTTGTATAAAACTTTATCTGTTTTTTCATCCTCTTGAATTTAAGAAAGATTTAGATAAATATATTTCAAGGCCCTTAATAATTGAATATCTACAAATAAGATAGTGGCAATTGAACAACATCTTATCGTAAGTTTTTAATCCACCACTTTTGTCTCAAACTCTTTATGATGTATTTTTAAAATTGTAATAAATTCTTCTATTAAAATTTTAATTTTAATAAAATGGATTTGACTACAATTCTAGTAAAACTTTTTATTCAAATAACAACATAAACTAAAATATCTACTGTCTTAATAGTTTGGATTCTCCAATATGGATTAAAATAAGACAGCACAATTTAATTCAATAATCTAATCTGACATTTTGTGTGTTGTACGTGCAGTACATATTTAGTACAATTTCCTCATGCCTTTAATCCTTGATTGGGTTTTATCAAGATCCTCTCCAGTAATATTGTGAACTTTTGACGATTGCAAAAGCTTTGTAGACATCCTCCTCAATCATGATAATATCACAAGATTCCAAGATTTTCAAAACTACACAAATAACCTAGAAAATAATGTTTTGGGGTTTTGACTATCTTTATTAAAAGGCTTAAGGAAATCCTCAAGTCATTGATGTATAGGAGTTCCTTCTCACTAACTTTATGATGTTTACAAGTGATATCTATAGTTAAATCTCAAAAACATTATTGGCCAGTAAAAGCTGATAAAACTAGCAATACAGTTATATTTCACTATGCCTACTAACATGTTGTTAAACTGAATTGCTACTTGAAGACACATTCTATTTCACACACACACACACACACACACATTTCTATTTTTTATTTTGTAACATGTATATTCCTTTGTTGCCTACCAGTTCTACATGAAATTACTCGTCTTAGGACTGACATCAATTTGTCAGAGATTTATATTTGTGATTTTTTTTATGTCTAAAATAAGGTTAATTCCTGGTTGAGTTATAACATTTACTATCTACAGAATAGACCTCGCATGTGATATAAAAATTTGAAGCCAAGAAAATAGATGAAGTTCAGGACCATCTCATCAGAGTTTACTAGTGTATTGAGTTAAATATCAATGAAAACCAATGCAGTATCATAGCAAACAGCTGATTGATTTATCACCTGACACAGAATGTTGTCGTTAGTTGGTGACCATTTCGTTGAGACTGCACCACTTTTTTTGGCTTCAAATTTTTACATTACATGGGAAGTCTATTATGTGTAAAGTCAATGGTTATAACCAGACTTAAAATCCTAGTCCATCTAGGATTCTCAATTTTGATTGGGTTTGGGTTTGTACGATTTCTGAGTTCACTGACAGATTGGATGATACAAAGCATAGCTATAAGTTAGTTTGTATGATCAAAGCTGTCTCCTAACTCTTTGTCTTCCTCGGCTTGGCTCAAGCCATAAACTCGAACTCTGCGCCCCTTGCTCTAATAAGTCAACTTTTAACTTTCCCTAGTTTCAGTAACTTTTTATCCAAGTCATAATTTACAAAATATATAATAATTTTTTAAAAGTATATAAAAAAAGATTAGATAATTGATACTAAACAAAGGCAAATTTGATTGAGAAATCAACAGTGTGGTGTATAGATTATTTCTTACCTCCATACTTATTTTCACCCCTATACTGTTGTTTCTTAATATCCGCCCTTCTTCATAGACATACATCCTTCTCAATCGTGATAATATCGCGAGATTCCTATATCATTTTTTTTTAACTGCACATAATCAGAGAATTATGTTTTTGGGTTTTGACTATCCTTATTAAAAGGCTTAAGTTGAAAGGAACTCACTAAGTCATTGATGTATATCAACTATGTAACTATATAATGGTCTTACCCTTTCATGTGCACATCAAATTATTCATAAAATTTTGCAAATTATGACTTAGATAAAAAAAAGTTACTGAAGCTATTGGTAAAGCTAAAAGGGCATTAATTAGTAAAACGGCTGCAGTTGTAGAGCCCAGGTTAAGGCTGGGGACTTTGTAATAGTTTTTCACCAAATAAAGTCGTAACAAACAATTACAGGTAAATTTATAGTTATTGATATCACGATTTGCTCAGTCTTCCGCCAAACTAAAGACTAAACTAAACTAACTAAAGATTTAAGTCTGATCGCGGCTACACATGTATTATCAGATTACAATCTCCTTTTCACAATTAATTGTTCTCCTGAATCGTTCTCAGACGTGATCAGGGCAAATTTCAGGATCATCAGGACTCCACTGATAGAGTTTTATTTCTAGTAAAGCTTTCCATTCAATTGAGAGAATTCAATTTGTTAAGGAATTTAATCCACCAAGTTAAAATTCTCCTGTAAGTGTCTCAACTCGTGTAACACTCACAACTGAACCTAGATTTGGTACAGGTTAATAATCTGAAGTTTAATAATAATTATCATATCATTCCTTCCTAAAAAGATTTTAACACTTATACCAAAACCCTGATCTGACAGGCCCACGGGAATTTTCAAAAAGACATGTTGGCAAAACTGTTTACTTGGGAGAATCCATTCCCCCAATACCTTCCCACATTTTCCTACCCTACTGGTTGATATATTTTTTGTTCATTTTGCGTGTTTGCCATGACCTTGACAGGTTGTCTGTTCATAACATGCCCGTCTCGGAAGCCCAGCATTAGTGTATTTTAAAGCAGGGTCTCACAGGCCCAGGGTTTTTCGGTTTGTGTTTCTAAGCGGGATCCATTATTTTCAAACGGGATCTCACAGACCGGGGTTTTCGGTTAGCGTCAGCCTGGGTAGGGTTTCGGTATTAGTGTTAAAGGTATTTTTTCTTGGCAATTCAAGTTAATCACACTGAATTAACTTTTTACTTCACACATATCACATCAGTCAGCTAAGTTAATAAAGGAGTGGCTCCATAACTGCACCTGAACTTCATATATTTATAATGTAATTGAAATTATAATTGACACTGGATACTTCGTGATAATGGTTAAGTCTCATCCAGGTGGTGTTAGTGATAGTTAATGTTGATATAGGAGGCAGTACTGATAAGGTATTGACATATAACAAGTACTGATAAGATATCTTTGTACTCTCAATCAATGTTCAGGGAATGTTCACTACATGAAATGAGGTTGATAAGTTTTTATAATATGACGAATTAATCTGAATTCAGACATACTCTTGGTTGTGAGGAAATAATCATTTGTATAACAATTTAAGAAATTTTTTGTATTGAATTTTTATTATGTCAGAGAAAGATTCAATTTTAATATTTTAAGGATTTTTTCAAACCTAATGGTTTATATTGTCTCAATTATCTTTTAAAGTACATAGATATTTTCATGACACAAACTTTTTTGGGATCCATCCCTCCCTAGTATTAAATAGTAATGTGCATTTCATCATAACATGAATTTTAATTTTTGAATTGTAGAGAATTCATCATCTGTATTCCAAAATATTAGCTGTAAATATTATTATTTCTTGCTATAACTATAATATACTATTAAAAAATATCAACATTTTCAAAATCAATATCAGTTGCGACTTCCCAATATTTTATTCGTGCAAACCGAAAATGACTTTTTCATATGTGAGACAAATAAACTTACACATATTTACTGTATTTCCATACAATACACAATTCTAAAGCTGAATCTTCTTTTGCACTGTCTCTACTTTCACCTCATTGTATTCCTTGCCTTGTGAATAAGAGTAAAATTATGAATTTTTGTAAATAACACTTTCAACCCAAAGTAATTGGAACTTTCATTGGACTACAATATTTTTGGAAAAAACAACCGTTCAAGAAATAAGGTTATCTGATTGAAAGATAGGGCATTTGGCAGGAATTGTTAAGGTAAATTACAGGAAAACAGGCTAACCTTTAAATAAGTCCACGAGAGAGACATAAAAACAACACAATAGTAGAAATTTCACAAAAGTCAGTGACCACAAAAAGAAATAAGTCATGTCTGCTTTGACTTAGGATGAATCCAGATAAAATAAGTTTTAAGTATTTTCAAAATTCTGTTTTTGCAATCCTTTTTTATGTGATTATTTTTGGGCCTTAACAAGATTTACCCTTTGTCTCCTTTTACCATGCAAATTGTATTTCCCTGTGTTAACCTAAAAAGTAAGCTTGTTTATACGTTGAGCCCAGTTCTGTTTTGAAATGAAATTGAAAGATAATGCATTTTTACTGGTTTATTCTATTCCCGTCCTTATTATGATCCCTCAATAATATATTTTTCCACGTTTTTACGGATAACGTCGATTGAAGAAAAGATCCAACTGAAAAACTGTAAAGTTTGAATGTTTAATATCTTCAAATCTTTTTTCAGAACGAAACACTTACCTCCATTGCGCTGCATTATGGTGCTAACGGAACAGTTAACGCGACATCTGCCGCTATTATCGACATGGACGGTACAGTTATGATGCCTGGGGCTGTTAGTTTGGATGACGAGAACTCTTTGCTTATCGTAAGTATCAAAAAAGATTTCAGTGTTTCAGAACCAAGAATCAAACTTTTACAACAATATTGATAAGTTTTAGCCCTCTTAATCAGTCATGCTTCATAAATATTTTGAGTATAAAATAATAGTGGTTTATTTATCTTTACTTTTGTCCCAGTTCAATAAAAGTTGTAATATCTACAACCATGGTTTCGACGCTAGTTGCGTCATGGTCACGTAGTTAGCAAGTCGAGAAGGATCTTGTCATAGTTAGTCGCTTGGACGTCGTCATATTTACACAAACACGGACACGGACATAAACACACATGTACATTCAGATTAAAATGACGACGTCCAAGCGACTGACTATGACAAGATCCTTCTCGACTTGCTAACTACGTGACCATGACGCAACTAGCGTCGAAACCATGGTTGTAGATATTACAGCTTTTATTGAACTGGGACGAAAGTAAAGGTAAATAAACCACTATTATTTTAAATTTATATTACCAGTTCAGGGGCAAGCCACAACAATTACTAATATTTTAAGTATTACCCATTGCAAATTCCATGATTTATATTTAAAATTGTTTACTGTGAAACAAAACCACTTACAACAATATTAACATTTTATTAACATTATAATTTTTGTAAAAATTAGAATAGAATTTTGGAATTCTTTAGTTTCCAAATTTAAAAGTTTGTACAAATGTTATCTGCGTGTGGACATCAAATGTATATTCCACATGGCTTCTATACAACTTTACCTATCTAATGTTCTTCTCTTCAGAGGAGTTTAATGTAGTCTTGATAAGTCTTTTTATATATTGTAAGTTAAATTGCAAATAATGCAAAATATTGATGTATATTTTAACAATATTGCAATATTTTAAAAATCGAAGGAATAGCTATTCTCAATTGTAATTTACTTGTTTTCTCCAGATAGGTACATAAATTAGTTTGAACCTTTTAGAAAACTAATAAGGCATCGTTAACTTTGTAAAATTTATCTGATTGTTTAGAATAAAAATAAAAATTTGCAATGATAAATGTTTTTTAATCTTTGTACAGTGTTGGGGTTAAGAAAGAAAAGCTTACTTTTACTTGTTATTTAATTTTACAACTTGAACTTTAAACTTATTTTTTGGTCTGGATAAATATTTGTTTTGTTTCTAATCTGTGAAAAATCAATAAATACTGGGTCTTTAAAAATTAATGGTGCAAAACCAAACAGGTGGATTTCTGTTTGTCCAGCAGCAGTTAGGGCCAATAACGGAAAGATCATTTTTATAAGTAGGCCTAGTGTTTTTATTTTATTTTTTTATTGACTTCTTGATTCTCCTACAGGCTTTTTATCAAATAGCTACCATAAAACAAGGACAGAAGATTGTCAAATTGTGACTCTTCAACGAAACTTCCTCACCCAACATTTGCAAAAACTACGAGGAGGATGCTTCTGAATGTTCCAAAAGTTTTTGAACAGTTTCAATTGGCCTCATTTTGGGCAATCTCCAACCCACAAAAAACCTTTTCTTGTTTTGTTGTAGCTAATTTAATAAACAAGCCTGTCACAGTTAATCAAGAGGCCAAGACAAAATTTAACCAAATCAAAACTATAGACTTGCTCTCTCCATTGTTGGCAGTATCAGCTATACATCAGTAATACATTTATCAGATAAATACATTTATCAAGGCAATCAGAAATTACACCTGTTTATTTCTGCACCATAATCACTTGGTAAAGGGGAAACAGAACATATGAACATATTTTTTTTAATTTCCCCCTGTAATCTCAAAATATGTCTTTACTTCCAGCTGGAGTTGAAGGATGGACAAGCTCTGAAGCTAAACTACACTTATGTGATATCTCTCCATTTTACATCGCCCCTGGGTACCTCAACTAAAGGACTTTTCTACGGCTATTACAACTCCACTAGGTTTGTAGTTTATGTAAATTTATAATAGTGTGGTTAAAAACTTTTTGAAATACAGTATAGGATTTATCTTTAAATGTGTTCTTTTAGTCAAGTATTAGATTCAGTACCTCCAAGACTATCTACTGGGAAACTAAGAGACTCATTGTCTCATTACAAAATAAGGTCAACATAAATATAATCTATTTTTTTTGTACTGCATTCCACAAGCTATTACTCTTACATTGCATTCTACTCATGCTATCCTGTAACAGTTGTTATTTTTCATGTGAATTGTGTGTTATATTGTTTTTTTGTTTGACAGCAAGTACATTGCCAGCAACTTCAGGCCGGTGTATGCTCGTGAAGTGTTTCCCTGTTTTGATGAACCACAGTTTAAGGTTCCTGTATCTCTACAAGTTGTTCGACCCACCTCGTACTACTCTTTGTCTACAGCTGGTTCCCCAACCTCCGAACCTTTGTAAGCATATTATCAATAGATCTCAACAGGACTTCAGCAATTGTTGTTTCTGTTCATGCCTAGTGACTAAGCCTATTAGGGCTATAGGTAAAGTGCAGGGCTTTTGTCTCCAAGGTCCTGGGTTGTAATCCTATCAATCCCCAATGGTGTTTAGCTATGTGAAATGCCACGATCTTCATCTAAGCTTAGCCAGAAGTAATTAATGTTTTAAATGGATCTGGGCTTGAGCCATACATCCTAGGATGTAAACTTGCCACTACTTGAGAACTTGCAACCATTTAGGTCCTAATTATGTAAATTAAACTTTTTGATTCATAAATTAAATATATTGTCTTAACACACAAAATCTGTTGTACAAAAGTTCTTTTAAAATGTTGCTAACGACCTTTCAAGTTTAACCTCATCGGCACGAAGCATAGTTTGTAATCCAAGCTTGCAAAGACAAGGCAACAACAAAGAGTTGAATTACCAAACGTTACAATCACATTTTTTAAAGAAAATGAAGACGTTTCTGTTTCCTTACAGTTTATTAAACACCATTAACAATCAACATCACTTATTGACACACAAAACTAATCTTCAGTTCGGTTAAGAATAACTAAACTATACTTTGATTAATTATACGCTTCTCTGGTAGATGTGCCAGCCTCAACAATAAAAAACAAGTTTTGTACAAAGGTTTTGTACAAGAGAGGCTTAATATTTTTATGTTATAGCTATTTATTTGCCAGTTTTGTTTTCATGGTTCTTCTTCTTTTTCCAGATCAGATGATAAGGTTTTGGACACCTTTCCCAACACTGGTCCCATCTCCATCCACTCTCTTGGTATCTTCATAAGTCAGGTGGCTCCGGTCTCGTCCATGGGTGTGAAAGTTGTCGTCCCTCCGTCTCTTCCAGTAACTATCTATTGGCTCAACATCCTCATCACCAATGTGGTCAAACAGTATGGAAAGTTCCCACAGTCACCACTCAACCTCATTGTTCTACCAGACAAAACACTAACTACTTTCTCTAGTCTTGGCTTCGTGTTTACCAGGTAAACTGTGAAGGATGTAGAAGTAGCTTGATGTTTCGAGCTTCGTTGTTTTAGCTGTCACTTTAAAGAAACGATTTTGAGAAATAAATATATAGCAAAGAGATAGAGATAAATGAGTTGAATAAAACCATACAAGTTAAAACTTCTACTATAGTAGAGCGTCGATTTTTACAGTTATCGGAAACATAGGTTGACCAAAAGGGACAAAGATTAAAAATAAATTTTTATTTATAATTGCCTCTGTAAGGTACTTACTAAATTGCATGTTGGCAGCCCTGAGGTCTACCAAGGGACGGTTGGCAGCATTTTGCAGTGGACAAGTCTGCAACTCAAGCTAACTGAGGAGTTTCTTCGTCAATACCTGGAGTTCTCCAAAACTCCTCAGTGGTGGTCGGAGTTGTGGTTGTCCGAGAGTGTTGGGGCATACTTGGCCATTCCCTTCCAGCAAGGCGAGGTAAATAAATACACAGTCACACACAGGCTGAATTCAACCTAACTTAGAGGACAATAAAGCTGTAATTAATAATACTATTTAACCTACACAGCTAATCTTAGCTACATTTTAAAATGTTGCCAATTAACATGAAAAAATAATGATAAAAACATATGGGCCACCATAATTAATAAACAGTTTTTTAGCTTTAGTTTTATGGAAGAATGTTTTAAGTAAAATATTTGATAGTCTAGATAAAGGTTTGTTCTTGAATTGTTAAATAATCAGTTCAGTTCAATTTTGTCTATTCATAGCTACAATACAGAATACAGTATTTCACTTATATTGTAGCATAGAAATGAATAATATAACATTAGCATGTATTTAGTTTAAAAGTACTTTACAAGAAAATTTTCAAAAGTTTTTACATTTTTTGATTTTAGGTATTATAACAATTTTAGATTATTTACATGACTAAATAATTAACCATTCTTGGGCTTTTTGACTATCTAGATATTTTTGCTACCAAATTGGGTAGGATTTTAACATAGTTGGCATCATAAAAACATGTTTATTGGTAAAATGTAGTTTAATTGACCAATGCCTGTTTCTGTTTCGTAGACACCGCTACAAGATTGGCTAAAGATTGTGGTCAGAAGTGAGGCTCTTGGAGGGTACACCAGTCCTTCAGGAGCAGTCATCACTGCTGAAGACCTGACCAAGTGGGACATTGAAAACATCATCAGCAACCAGACCATCAAGCTGAAAGGTATCATAATCAGTATAACATGATTTCTTAGACATCCCAAAAAGCTCCTAACGTTACAGGTTTAGTGTAAATTCTTGTCACTCACATATTATATATAATTAACAACTTCTGATCCTGGCATTTTATATTCCCAACATTTGCAGGTACACCGCACAGAAAATTCTAATTTTATTGCAAAGTTGATAAAAAATTATACTGTATTTGTACTCTTATAAAAATGTTTCTCAGCATTTTTGGAATAAGGTAAATTTCACTACTTCTTAAGGCAGGGAGCAAACGAGTCTAGTGGTAGAGAACGGGACTTTAGTCTCTTAGGTTCTGGGTTCAAATCCCGCCAATCACTAATGGATTTTGTCAAAGGGATAATGCCTCAACTCTTTAGGTCTAGCCTGAAGTAGTGTTAAAAATAAATTTCGGCCTAAAGCCTAACGTAAAAAAATAAAACTAAAAATTAAAAAATACTTCTTTAAAAGCAAACTGGTTGTCACTGATAGAGGATTGAAGTGAGAATTAATCCACCAACTGAATTCTAGGACTGAGCACACTTCTGATGTGGCAAAACACCATGGCAGTTAAAGTAGTCCAGAAGACACTGTCAGACTTCATCAAGTTAGAGTAAGTTCACCATTAAAACATAGTATAGACAGAACATACATAGATAGTAATCATCTTATTTTACACATAATGGATAAAATTTTAATGAGACTTTGTCACATAATAACTTACGATATTTTCTAAAATCATAATAAAATCTTTAAATTAAAACTTTAAACAAATTTAATTATAGTAAAGTATCAATCCATATTTGTATATACTTTCAGTGTATAATTCATAGTGGAGAAAGGCTGTGTTTCCAATCTTCACTAGCAACACACGGAAAACAGGAACAAAAATAAATTAGACAGAAAAAACTCCTATTTTTTGGCCTCATGTTTCTTTCTGTTATGTTAATGATCTATGATGGTGGATCTATGAAATTTTTTGCATACACAACAATTTCATACTAATTTTTTTTAGTTCATTTTTAATATGCTAACCACACAACAGGTTGTTTGGTACACAAGGGTTTTGTAATATATTTTACCCACAATATGTTTGGCATTTCCCAATCTAAAATGCTCATAGTTTCAATTGGCTTAATCCTACCATCCTGAGAGATATGGTATGTGATACTTGTCTTTTGAAATTATACTTTTCTTGCAATAGAAAAAGAAAAGAATCACAAGAAACTAAAGATGGAGCTTATCAACTTTCAAATTATCATACCAGTTTTTAAGGTGTCATGATATTGCGTTGATTGTGGTCTGGTTGCAGAAAATCGGTAGTAACGACCACGGACCTGGTCAACATAATGGTGAAGTACATTAAACAAAGCAAATCTTACAACTGTACAGCTGCCATTCCCCTCCTTCCCAACTGGATCAGCCAGCCTTGTAGTCCACTGGTGAACTTCGCTATCAACTCCAACTCAACCTACAACCTAGCCCAGGTAACCATTCTGAATTTGCTACCAAATACTTACTCAAAAACACTAATAATTTCTATTAAAAAATAAATCGAGAACACCCAGTTATTACCTTGTTTTGCCTGTGTAATCACAGGAAAGTAAGGTACAGAAGAATCATGCTAATGGGACTACCTTTCACCTCTGGTATGGTGTGCTGGAAATATACTTGTGACGTAAGGAAGAGCCGAGCGGCGAGCACTGTTTGGAATTTCCTATCGCACAGGGCACAGGGTTTTCCTCCAATTAGCTTTGTAGTACGTGAGGGCGAGGGGCGGGGGGGGGGGGGGATGTGGGACTTTAACCCAAGACACCAGCACTAGTGCTAGACACTTACGTACCATGGAGTGTATCCTCCGTTCCTTACTTCTCTAGTTAATCACTTAATGTACATTTCACCACCATTTGTAACATCTTTAGGGGGTCTTGTTATATCATCAGTATCTTGTTACGGAAAGTAAATAAAAGAAACGTCTTCTAACGCTTCAAACATTCCCTTTCTTACATCACTAACAAAAACATTAATGTCTATAATATTTATGGGAAGTAAATAAAAATACTAGTGATACCAGACAATAAAAATAACATGTACAAGAATATCTGTGTCCATGTACAAGACTATGTGTGGCCATGTACAAAACTATCTGTGTCCATGTACAAGACTATCTGTGTCCAAAGTCCATACTATACAAAACTATCTGTATCCAAAGGTAGTCCTGTACATGGACACAGACAGTCTTGTATATGGACTCAGACAGTCATGTAAATGGACTCGGACAGTCTTGTATATGGACACAGACAGTCTTGTACATGGACACAGATAGTCTTGTAAATGGACACAGATAGTCTTGTACATGGACACAGACAGTCTTGTATATGGACACAGACAGTCTTGTATATGGACACAGACAGTCTTGTATATGGGCACAGACAGTCTTGTATATTGACACAGACAGTGTTGTATATTGACACAGACAGTGTTGTATATGGACACAGACAGTCTTGTATATGGACTCAGACAGTCTTGTAAATGGACACAGATAGTCTTGTACATGGACACAGACAGTCTTGTATATGGACACAGACAGTCTTGTATATGGACACAGATAGTCTTGTACATGGACACAGACAGTCTTGTATATGGACACAGACAGTCTTGTATATGGGCACAGACAGTCTTGTATATTGACACAGACAGTGTTGTATATTGACACAGACAGTGTTGTATATGGACACAGACAGTCTTGTAAATGGACACAGATAGTCTTGTACATGGACACAGATAGTCTTGTACATGGACACAGACAGTCTTGTATATGGACACAGACAGTCTTGTATATGGACACAGATAGTCTTGTACATGGACACAGACAGTCTTGTATATGGACACAGACAGTCTTGTATATGGGCACAGACAGTCTTGTATATTGACACAGACAGTGTTGTATATTGACACAGACAGTGTTGTATATGGACACAGATAGTCTTGTATATGGACACAGACAGTCTTGTACATGGACACAGATAGTCTTGTAAATGGACACAGATAGTCTTGTATATGGACTCAGACAGTCTTGTATATGGACACAGATAGTCTTGTACATGGACACAGACAGTCTTGTATATGGACACAGACAGTCTTGTATATGGACACAGATAGTCTTGTACATGGACACAGACAGTCTTGTATATGGACACAGACAGTCTTGTATATGGACACAGACAGTCTTGTATATGGGCACAGACAGTCTTGTATATTGACACAGACAGTGTTGTATATTGACACAGACAGTGTTGTATATTGACACGGACAGTGTTGTATATGGACACAGACAGTCTTGTATATGGACTCAGACAGTCATGTAAATGGACTCGGACAGTCTTGTATATGGACACAGATAGTCTTGTATATGGACACAGACAGTCTTGTACATGGACACAGATAGTCTTGTAAATGGACACAGATAGTCTTGTATATGGACTCAGACAGTCTTGTATATGGACACAGATAGTTTTGTACATGGATACAGATAGTCTTGTACATGGACACAGACAGTCTTGTATATGGACTCAGACAGTCTTGTAAATGGACACAGATAGTCTTGTACATGGACACAGACAGTCTTGTATATGGACACAGACAGTCTTGTATATGGACACAGACAGTCTTGTATATGGGCACAGACAGTCTTGTATATTGACACAGACAGTGTTGTATATTGACACAGACAGTGTTGTATATTGACACAGACAGTGTTGTATATGGACACAGACAGTCTTGTATATGGACTCAGACAGTCATGGAAATGGACTCGGACAGTCTTGTATATGGACACAGATAGTCTTGTATATGGACACAGACAGTCTTGTACATGGACACAGATAGTCTTGTAAATGGACACAGATAGTCTTGTACATGGACACAGACAGTCTTGTATATGGACACAGACAGTCTTGTAAATGGACACAGATAGTTTTGTATATGGACACAGATAGTCTTGTACATGGACACAGACAGTCTTGTATATGGACACAGACAGTCTGGTAAATGGACAAAGACAGTTTTGTATATGGACACAGATAGTCTTTGACATTGCCTAGCCATATGAATTATTTTTAAAAAACCCGTCCTTGTAAAAATAAAAAACCTAACAAATAAATAACAAATAAAAAACCAACATTTTCTTGGATCCGCCCATCAATTCAATTCAAAGATACTTTATTCACAGATATACAAAAGTATACATGAATGGCGTTCAGAACAATACATCATACATTACATCGCCTAATCACTAAAAAATACGTCTAATAACACTTGAAAAATATATATACACTTATCGTGTTAACTCACACGACTGTAAATACAAATATAAAAGATGTTAAAGTGTTGATCAATTACAATTGGATACTCCAATTATCATCAGATCCGATAGGCGAATTACAAGAATCTTGATGGCGTCCCTTTTTATATCCCGTCCTATTGGCTTCTGGAAATTTCGGGCAAAAAATTTTTATAAGTTCAACTGAAGTCAAAATTGACATGTATAGTACCTTAGTAATATTTAAAAAACATTTACACTGAAAACTGTCACTGGTAACATGCAACACATTTAGTCGGAAAAATAAAATTAAGGAAGAATTGATGTTGATCTAAGCGTATGTTAACTTTTGCTACAAATCTGATTGAAGAAATAAAGCAAATTAAAATATGCTTGGTTTTTAGGTTAACTGCATTCTACCTAAAAAAAAATATAAAGCAAATTGGTTTAATTTTAATGTACACAAATGATGACTGTACGTGTAATGTGTTTTCTGTAGGAAACGCCTTGGTGTACACCAGCTGAACGCTCCATCTCTGTTGCTATAGCTGTCGGGCAGACTCCTAAATGGAACAACTTTCGCCAAGGCAATTGGCTTTTGGACACCTCAGCCAACTTTACTTGGGACAACATCTCTGAAGCAAGTGTCATCAACATAGAAACTGGTAAGTTAAAATCCACTGTTGCTAGCGACATGATGTACCTACATTTTTGGAAAATATCCTCTTGAATTATGAATCGGTGTTTATCTGAAAATGTAGATTCACTGGACTATAACACTTTTTTATTTTTAGCTCAAAGACAAAAGAAATACCAAGATTGTAGATTAATCGTTGTGAATTCAAGCAAAATGAGTTTTTCAACGACAATAAACACCGCAACATAACAAGTGCAACAATGTGCTGTTTGGGGGTTAAAACCAACCATTCCGATATAATTGATAATTACGTACGGTATAACAATTTCTAACAGAGAAAAACAAGTCATCTGACTTTCATCCACTCCTTGATATGATGATCCTGAGTACACCACTAACTCTTCTAATAATAACACCAGGAAGCAAGCTGATGGTCTAATTAGAGAGCACAGGCGTCGGAGCCCAAGCTCCCGGGTTCAGATCCTTCCAATCACCGTTGGATTTTATCCATGTGATAATGTCGCGACTTAACAAGCCTGAAGTAATGTGCAAAACAGTTCCAGGCTACAACCTAGTGTTTAGGATATGATGGCGGGACTTAAAAAATAATAACGACACCATACAAAAAATCAAGTAAGGTATTGGAGTTCTATTTTAGTTCCGTTCACACTGACAGTGATTGATGCTTGCAGCTCCATTCCGAGTGAACTACCCGGTGGACCAGTGGAATGTACTGATCAATGCTTTGTCTACCGGATGGGCTCCGTTATCTGTTGCCAGCGCATTGCAAGATGATGCCGTGGCTCTTTCGCTTCAAGGCTTCTTAGACTTCTCCGTTGGACTTTCAGTCCTCAACAGTACAGACCGCACCAGCCTAGACCTAGGCTGGTGGCCAATAGTCAAGGCTACTGAGGCCATCTCTGCTAAACTCGGGAATAGTTACTACGGTTTAAGTGCATTTGGGGTGAGTTTTACCTTAAATTATATTCAATTTTGGTTACTTCTTAATGGCTATAAAATTATTAGAGCTGCATATTTTTGTATGAAATAAATTTTACTTTAAAATTAACTTTAAAGTGTTTTTGCCACAATTACATTGTTTTAACCAACTTTCCACGCAAGGATTAAGTCCGGAAAACAGCTATTCGCCACCTATTTGATCAAATGGGGTGTCATTACGTACTACTGATGAGTTGATTACTACTACTGATGTAATGAGTTTTTACTGGATTCCAGCTGATTATATTTGTCAATGAGTTGTTATAAACATACCTTTCTTATAGATTATGAATAGTGATTGTACAGTTTTTTTATTGCTAGGTTAATTTAGAGTAGTATGGCTACGGATGTAGAGTGTATTTGGCATTCAGTCAATGATTGAATTTACCTCATTAGCCATGAATTTCCTTAGTCTAGCTAGTAGTAGTAAATAAGGCACAAAGAATGAAACATTGTTTTCCAAACAATTGTTCCTTCCATATTTTCCTTGTTGAGTATGTATAGTTCCCATAAGAAATATGTGGTAATAGTAGTTTGATAGTAATCTGGGGCATGTTTCATAATAAACTACAACCTAATATTATTAGTAACAGCTGATTGTCCAATGTGAAGTTATTTAAATTGTAAATTGTAGTTTATTATAAAACATGCCCCTGAGCTTAAACTGTAATTGTGACTTACTCAATTAAGAAGTATGTTTAATTTTCGGCGCATGAAAACTTGTATAGATATTTTGACGATTGCAAATTTAATTTAGTATCATCACAGAAAACATACTACTATCATGAATCGTATCGGTATCATGAATCGAACCAAGGATATTCTATTGAGAACCCTTTGTCATCATACAGAAATGAATTCTTCAAGTTTATAAATGGTGTGAATACCCTTCAGTAGATTGTTTTTTCCACAGAAATACTTTGCTGACCTATTCTCTGCTGATTTACTGGCCGAGCTTGACTTAAATAACAGTGCCAACTACACAAACGCAAGCGTTGTGAGAGAGCTAGTCACTCCTTGGCTCTGTCGTTTCAACATCGGCACATGCAGAACAGCTGTCGTGAACCTGGGAGCTTCTCTATGGCAGGGCAATACTTCTAAGTAAGTAAAATAAGGTGTTCCTCAGGGATCTGTTTTGGGTCCTGTTATATTGGGAACAGCTTAATACATTTTACAGATCTGAGGTAACAGAAATCAACATAACATCAAAATACCTTTATTGTAAGTTATAAGGGTTACGTGGTCCCATCAAAATATATTCTTAGATTCAAATCACCTAACTATTGTGATGTCATAGCTCTGTGGAAGAACATCATTAGTTATAGTTTAAGTTAAGTAGGGATGGACGAGATTGGATTTTTAGTTCAAGACGAGACGAGACAAGATTTTTTATTTCTCATAAAATTTCGAGACGAGATCGAGACGGGATTTCCCTTCTCATACACAACGGGAAATGCACGTTCAAAATTTTTACCTGATTTTGTAACATTGTTAGATGACTGTTTAAATACAAAAATAATGATAATAGGCAAGAATATTTACAATATTTTATTAAAAAACATCAGCATAACATTTTTTTATTAATCACGCCTAACTTATTAAAAATGCCTACGATTAGGAAACATAGTGATATCAGTAAGGATAGAGTTCAACTTATCCTAAAATAAAATAAATCATAAAATAAAAGCAATATTAATTTTTATAAAATAGTTACTTGTTTTGACTTTTTATAGTAATAAAACATTCCTCACACTCTTACACTTAACAAAACTTTTCAAATGTTATTAGAGTAATATTATTAAAATAATTAAAGTAATATTTACATTAAAAGAATTTATTAAATAAAAACGCCTTCGCAAAGGAAACGCAACTACAACACGCTCCTGTATTGCGGGTATTGCATGGACTTTGTGCAGGCGTTTTTAATTTTTTTTTTTTTTTTTTTTAATTCTCGTCTCGATAAAAATCTCGGCCAAAAAAAATCTCGTCTCGTGTAACGAGAATTAAAATTTCCCGAAATTTCGAGACTTGACCATCCCTAAAGTTAAGTTATTATTGTGATAGCACTTCACAATATCCCAGTACTTTGTGCATTGCATGATCAATATGTTTAAGTGAATAAAGAATTTGAATTTGAAGAAAAAATTTTTTGTGTGTTGGAGATTACTGATATTACAATTATACAGCACAACGAAACTACTGAAGAAAAAAAATTGAGAAAGTATCTTTCTTGTTGTAACCGCGTATTGGGGGAGGAAGTTTTGTTGAACAGCCACAACGGCTCCAGTTGGAGCAATTATCGACCCACAACACATTTTTTCTTGGTATTTAATAGCCATTTTATAAAAAAAGTCTGTAAAGTTAAATAACTAAGAAAAAAGATAAACATACAAAAAAGGTTATAAAAATGCTGTCTTCATTGTTGGCACTAACAGCTGTTTAAATAAAAGCATGGAGAAAATCCACCTGTTTTGTTTTGCACCATTATTTTTTAACTTACTTTATATATATACAAAAAATTTGCTTTACAGTATTGCACCAAGTGATCTAGAGAATGTAGCTTGCTACGGAGCCCGCTACACTCCCGGTGCCCTGGGTCCGCTGCTGACTGCCTACCAGAATGCTACGGATATGACACTGAGACGATACTTCACCATTGCTCTGTCCTGCCTGACGGACCAAGACAGCGTAAACAAGTAAGGCAAACAAGTTTCTATTAATTTATTTTTTTATTTGTGTTTTGATTCAAAAACTTTACAAATACCGTTGAGTATCATTTAATCACATTTAAAAAAGAGACACATGCATATAATAATACATTACATTACTAGTCCTGAAAATATGTGTTTACCGGACAAGTGTGGTCGTTCACATGCGAGACGGAGTCGAGTGTGGGATCACAATATGAGTTCGGTAAACACATTTTGGACGAGTGATGTAGGATATTATACGCCATACTACTCTAAGCTAACTTAAAAAATCTTTACAAATCCTTATATTTCCTTCGACTAAAGGACTAACAATCACTACTCATAACCTCTAAGAGAGGTTATGGTTTTGTTTATAACCACTTATTGAAAAATATAATCAGCTGGTTGGTGCCCAGTAAAAACTCACAACAGCACAGTAGTACCTAATGAAACCCCATTTGATTAAGCTGGCGGAAAACAGCTGTTTTCTGGACTAAATCCTTGTGTGGCAAGTTCGTTAAAACAGTGTAATATGATGTAAAAATTATTATTGTGATTTTCTGAAATAACAGAACTAAAGTCTGATGAGAAAGAAAGATGTTACAACATTGATATACAGACCCAAAGGGAAGAGTTATTTGTGTGATTATTTTATTAGATCACTACTAAACTAGTCTAGCTTTTTTAATAGAAGATTATTTTTCCTCAACCTTAGATTAGTCTTAATTCCACTATTGTATTTTTCACCATACAATTTGTGTTCATAGAATAAAGATGATTTGATTTGATATGATTTATCAAAACTAGACATTGAAATATGGATTTTATCGTTTTAACATTTCCCCAGCAAACTTTTAAAAGTGGCTGGTTAAATGCTAATCAATCAATGAATTTTACTAAGCAAAATGGATACATACAGGTTCAAAACCCATAGGTTTGTTCGCATCAAAAAAATTAATGTAAATCTTTTAATCTAAATTTTTATTTGTACTGCAGTTAAACCAGAAAAAAGATGTTTAAAAGTCAATATTTATTTACTCTTATAAAAAGATTTGCTTACAAAAACGATTGTATGTTACAGTCTATTGTACACGATTGTCAATTCACAAACAACCTTCAAGGCCCAAGATTCGGCAGTCAGTCTAGACACTAGTGATGCTGAGGAAATTCTGGTTGGACTTGCTTCCAGTGTAGAAAATGCACAAACTGTCTTGACCTTCTTACTCAGTGAGGGTTTGGATGTTCAAGAAAGGTGAAAAATTCTTGTAGTTTCAGTTGATACTGATATTCTGTAATATTTTACAGTTCTTTTGTTTTCATCTGACTTTTGCACTCTTGTAAAGTATAAGAAGAATCTTTTGTTTTACTATTATTAACTTAGTACAGCTTGTATACAATACATTTCCAATATTTATCTGTATAAGTCTTGTAAAAAAGGCTTGTCCTCAGCATTTGTTATAATACTAATGTATTTTCCATCCTTATCTTGAGTCAGTGTAACTTTTAACTGTACAAAAATATATTTCCTACTTAAACAGTAAACAAATTTTGCTTACAACTATTTAACATTATTATAAAATCTTATTGAACTATATTGCCTCATCTAATCATACTCTGGTATGACTGTACAACCGAGATATGCCTTTTAATGTTGACTGAAACTGAAATACAAGCTCGCACCATTTACTTGCAGTATATGTGATCTTTGCATTATTTTAATTGTTAAGCTCATGTATGAAATGGCTAAACAACTAGTTGTTATTACAGATTTAAATACTCAAAGACTTATTTGTAAAATAAGAGATTATTAATTGTCTGCTCTGAAATAGGGTCGTTTGTGAAATAAATCTTATCTTTGGGTTAGGAGTTTTTTTTTATGTCTCACCTCCATAAATATGAGTTTTGTGCGGTTTACCTTTTACCTTTTACCTTTTACCTTCTGTCGTGAACTTTTACCAGAGAAGACTGGATTGTTCATGTCAATAAAAAATTAAAACATCACTTCATAAGGTTTCCAAGTAAATGAATGTCGTTTTTAGTAAAGTGTAAAATTAAATAGTAGCTATGGTCGGAATGTTTAACTTTATAAAACTGAACCTCATGATTTTTGTGAGTTGATGCCAGCAAACATAATTCAATGAAATTGTTTGCCATCAAATAACAAATTAAATTAAGAAACTAAATATGATGCTTTCCAAAATTAAATTTTTACAAAAGTTCACACAAAAATTAATGAAGTTTGTTGTCAACTCAAGAAACTCCGAACATTACAATTTCTATACCTTAAGTAAAATATTTTAACTAATCTGTAAAGACGAGTTAGCAGATAATCTTATCACATGTAACAGGTAAATATGTGGTTGATTCGACTAAATTATGTGATTTTCAGATTCGGAGTTGGCACCCTTTCCTCAGTCATCAAGAGCCTTGCTAATAACAGAGCGAACCTTACTCAGGTGGGATATAACACAGTATAATGAATTCTACATACTAAACCAACCGGGTAATCAGGAACAATTTTCAACAGTCTTTGGCCAAATGTTCGTTATTTTTGGATTAGCCTATAAATAATTTCCATTCCCAGCATTTATAGCTGTTATAATCACTAGAATAAATAGGTTTACATTACACATTATAGTTCGACAAACAGCTGAAATATGACACATAGGCTGTTTACATGTTTCAGCTTGTATCTGCCATTGTCAAAACATTAACAATGCCGGTGTGTGTGTGTGGTGTGTGTATTAAATGTTGTATTTTTTGTACAGTAGACTCCCTCTTATCAGGACTCCTCAGGACTGAGGCTAGTCCGGATAACGGTTTTTCTGGTTAAACCGATGTCCTCAAAAACTTGTTAAATCGGACCGTTTACTGTGGTATTCGACTTAAATTTAGGAGAGCATTGTATTTAGACACGTGATCACTGGTCTCAAATATTTCCCACGAGAACAGTTGTTTCAGTATTGCCCACTTCCTGCCGATCTAGTCCGGTTAAACCAATGTGCTGATAAAAATTGTCCGGTTAAACTGATGTCCGGTTAAAAGGTGTCCGGATAAGAGAGAGTCTACTGTATTGACAATGGCAATGTAGTCACATAATTTTGCTTAAAAAGACAAGTGGTTTGAAAATGAATCTAGTCGTTCAAGACTAAATTATTAAGATTGACAACATAAGGTATGTAAACCTGTTTATATCGTCCTGAAGGTAATGCTGTGTAAACTATTACAATATTTGATTTTAGCTCTCTTCACTGCTAAACCAAAACTTGGCTCCATATGTGATTCAATCCGTGGAGGAAGCTCTTGTCACGGCCACCTCGAGTCAAACTTGGTATTCCACCTACAGTAGCCAACTGTACAAGGCTCTACCTGGTGAGTAAATACACCTCACTAACACTCAACAACAATATCATATGTTAAGATAGGAAAAACTATTATTTTGCAAACAGCTTTTATTTTAATTGCTTTAGCTTTTGTTATAAACTTGGACATAAACAATCCTGTGTGGCAATCAGAATTGGAAGAATTAAAAATGTTGTGTATAAAGTAAAAAATATATTCGAAAACATATCACAAAATTTTAATCTCAGTTTAGGATAATCTGTTGATATTCAATGTGCTCATCAGAACTGGGTACTGTTTTGCTTATTAAAAAAATAAAAAATCGACAGGTGTTGTATTGGTGAAGGCTGTCTCAATGACTGCCCAGGCTCACAATAATAGAATGGAGTGATATGATCTGTGTTGCTTTGTTACTGACAATGATCAACTGTTTTATTAGTCAGGACCATGTATTGCCGAATGAAAAGTAAAAAAAAAAAATTATAAATCAATAAAAGCAATATTTACATGAAAAGAATTAAATAAATAACAACGCCTTCGCAAAGGAAACGCAACATCAACGCGCTCCTGTATTGCGGGTATTGCATTGACTTTCTGCAGGCGTTTTCCTTATATGGATACTGAATCCCTCATGAATTGAATCGTGTTTTGACCACTACTTAATCGAATCGAATCGAATCGGAATTTCAATGCATTTTCGAGATCATTAAATTTATCTTGAGTTGAGAAAAAATAAGAAAAACAAACTGAACAATTGTTGTCAGTGCTCAAACCTTTTATTACCTTTAATAGTCTTCCAAGTGGGGAGCGAACTAGTGGTTAGAGCGTGGGACTTCGGTCAAAGAGGTTCCAGGTTCAAATCCCGCCAAATCACCAATGGATTTGATCTAAGTGATAATGCCGCAACCCCTAGGTCTAGCTAGCCTGAAGTAATGTGAAAAATAATCCTAGGATCGTGCCTAGCGTCCTAAGACAAAAGTTCTGCCAAAAAAAGTAGTTTTTCCACGTAACTTTTAGCTTAAAGAATTAAATAATCAAAACGCTACGAAATTGCAGCTGGAGATATTCCACCAACAACGGCGGCCGCTTCAACAACTCCTGGCCTCACGACGGTCTTCTCTACCCCTACACCGACACCAGGGGGGCATAGCGCCGCAGCAGGTCTCACCGACTTCAGAGTATTCACAACTATTCTGACAGCTCTAATGATAACTTTAGACTTTATGCTACGTTAATTTGTAATTTGTAATATTTGTTTTATCTTTTAAATAAATAACTTTTTTGGAATTTTTTGTGAGCATAACTACAAATTGGTTTTCCCATTTAAATGTAAGGAGTTAGGAGCAATTTTTGTATTGTATTGGAAGGAAAACAATAAGCAAATTAAATACAAACATCCTTCCTTCTATCAAATAATAGTTTATGTTTTGTATAAAAATAACTCTTGTCAGTATATTTGTCTCTTGATGATACAACAGAGCGTATTGGATTACTGAAAATGTCGAGACTATCAAGATTGTTTTTTGTATTGCATTTGATATGACCATTTCTTCTAATGCAGTGTTAAAAGCTACTAGGCATTTGGGACAGAATAAAAGCACAATCAAGTAAAAATTGATTCCAAACAGTACATGTAATATACTAAAACTAAGTTACGCAATAATGTTGAATGTATAGTGTGGTGGGGGGGTCTCATGTTTTGCAGGCTTGTTTTATTTCCACTAATAAGAATGCTGAGGGTACATGGGTTATGTCGGATTATGAAGTCTCAGATTGCCAAGTGACAACTGTAGTTACATTAAATGGCAATTCTGTAAAAAAATCTACAAAAGTCACTTTATAAAATTGCTTTACAACCATTTAACATAATTTAGCTAAAGCATGGCTTTGGACTTAACCCTCCGACGGTGACACCACCGGAGTTTTGCCACCACCACGGGTACATATTTTTCTATTTGTTTTTATAGAAAAATATGTGATATCGCGGCCGGCAGCTATAGGAGTAACAGAACCTTACGTGCATCTTTCTAGGAACCGATTTAACATTATTTTCATCTCACACTTCCCCTGCAAACCCCTATTAATTAGTAGCGTAGCACAGAGCCTGGGTCCGTGAGTCACCGATGGTGTTGTTTTTGTTTGCTATATATTTTATAAATATGTGAAGTAGAGTTTTTATCGATGTAATGTACAATTTTATTGATTATAAATGGTTTTAATGAGTTTTTATATTAATATTTGTATACAACACATTGTTTGTCTAATGTTTCAACACCCGGAAAAAAAAACTCTGTGTGTCACCGATTGTGTTTTAAAATCAAAGATACCGATGAAGGGTTAAATACAAAATTCTTTTCTTTCGACTTTACAATAACTCCAGGTCTTGCGAAGTAGCCTATAATTTAAGAAATTATAGATTTAGGTAGAATGATAATTCAATCTGATTAAGAAAACTATTCAACCTCTTTAACAAGGTTTATACATTAATTTGACCTCAATATTCAACTATTTATCGTAAAGTAGTTGGGTTGAATGTAGCGGCTCTATTGGAGAGAAGGGGACAGAAGAACACCTGGTATTCAAGGCTACATTAAAGTTGAATAACTCACTATATTAACCAAGCAATGTCTTCTCTTATTCAACATTGGAACCATCAGCTTGAGGTTGAGCTCTGTATGTTTGCCTTGCGTCTGGACACCTAGCTTCTATGCTGTAAAGGTAAGTAAAAAAGAAGTAATATTTTTCATTCATATTACACCCATTTATCAATACTCCTGATACTTGATTTAATATTGCAATTTTTTTTAAGTCGTAATAGTTGTTGAGAGATTGAGTTACTGTAAGTTGAGCCGCAATTATAATTTTTTTATTGAGAGTATGTTATGTATATGATATAAATAAATAATTGTTAACTCTTGCTTTTTTAAAGTTGAAAAATATTAATAACAACTAAATCCACAAAAGACATACCTATGGACTTTTAATTGTAACTCTAGCTATCTAAATAGATTGGATATACACTTCCAAAGACCAGAACTAAATCAATACAAATAATTTCTTGGATCTGTGCATCATCAATTCTATCTTTTTACTGTATACCTTGGATAATACATTTTAATAATGTTCATTTCCTTATTTCACATCACAGTGTATCGTCCTAAATACGTAGATTTAGATAGGAATTTAAAATAACAATAGTGATCGTTCAGAATTATGCTTAAACTTAAACAAGATGATCCAGGCAAAGAATATTACCAAATTTTAAACTTTATTGTTCAGTATTACCATTACCTTCGATCAATTATTATTGCCAAAAAATATTCCGAATTTGCATCCAAAATATCACCATAATTTAATCGTCATACATGTTATATGAAAAGTTTAAAATGAATCAGTGTCACAGACTTACAGTTATATTTGCTTTAAACAAAATATTTTACAGTGAACAGTTATTAAAAAATTATTCATTACAAAAAAAGAAAGATAATAGTTTGAATTTTCAAAAATGAAACTATAATTACGATAAATTTGGCATTATATTTCAAAGTAGACCTCTCAAAAACAATAAAAAGTATTGTCTGTTCTTTAAGTACGTACTGTTTTTTACTTAAATAATTATTGACTGTGTTCAATGGGCTGTATTTTATACATATACAAAAACATTTGTATATATGTCAAATATTGATTAATGATTTCTAGCCAAGACAATCAATAAAAATTTGAAATTTTTGTTTACATCTTTAGTTAGTGTTTATATATCTCTTTACTGAGTATACAATACTATCTTAACCAGAATAAATATTATTTGTCGGAAATATGATATATTTTTATTTTTATAGTTACTGTAAATATTGCTTACTATAAAATCCAAATTTTGAGCTTTTACTATATATTTATTGTTCATGGTTTTATAGGTCCGTGAAGTTGGCGTACCCATATTAGCGTATCCACTTTTGATCATACCAATCGTTAGTTCATCGTTAGTTCTCGATAGTTCCCAAATTTTTTCGTTAGTTCTCAAAAAATAAAAAAGTTATAGCCGATTATAAGTGGGTACGCTAACTTCACACTTCCGGGTTCTAGCACGCGCCGTTTTCTGAGGAGAAATGTTTACATCTATATACCAATCGTTAGTTCTTCGTTAGTCCTCGATAGTTCCCAAATTTTTTCGTTAGTTCTCAAAAAATAAAAAAGTTATGAGGCATACAAAGTGGGTACGCTAACTTCACAATTGTACAATTTCCAGCGGGAACAGTTTTTTTACTATAAATGCCTATATCTATATACCAATCGTTAGTTCTTCGTTAGTTCTCGATAGTTCTCCAAAATTAACGTTAGTTCTCAAAAAATAAAAAAGTTACGAAGCATACAAAGTGGGTACGCTAACTTCACAATTGTACAATTTCCAGCGGGCACAGTTTTTTTACTATAAATGCCTATATCTATATACCAATCGTTAGTTCTTCGTTAGTTCTCGATAGTTCTCCAATATTTACGTTAGTTCTCAAAAAATAAAAAAGTTAAGAGGCATACAAAGTGGGTACGCCAACTTCACAATTATAGAATTTCCAGCGGGCACAGTTTTTTTTACTATAAATACCTATATCTATATACCAATCGTTAGTTCTTCGTTAGTTCTCGATAGTTCTCCAATATTTACGTTAGTTCTCAAAAAATAAGAAAGTTAAGAGGCATACAAAGTGGGTACGCTAACTTCACAATTGTACAATTTCCAGCGGGAACAGTTTTTTTACTATAAATGCCTATATCTATATACCAATCGTTAGTTCTTCGTTAGTTCTCGATAGTTCTCCAAAATTAACGTTAGTTCTCAAAAAATAAAAAAGTTACGAAGCATAAAAAGTGGGTACGCCAACTTCACAGTTATAGAATTTCCAGCGGGCACAGTTTTTTTACTATAAATGCCTATATCTATATACCAATCGTTAGTTCTTCGTTAGTTCTCGATAGTTCTCCAATATTTACGTTAGTTCTCAAAAAATAAAAAAGTTAAGAGGCATACAAAGTGGGTACGCACACTTCACAATTATAGAATTTCCAGCGGGCACAGTTTTTTTACTATAAATACCTATATCTATATACCAATTGTTAGTTCTTCGTTAGTTCTCGATAGTTCTACAATATTTACGTTAGTTCTCAAAAAATAAAAAAGTTACGAGGCATACAAAGTGGGTACGCTAACTTCACAACTATAGAATTTCCAGCAGGCACAGTTTTTTTACTATAAATACTTATATCTATATACCAATCGTTAGTTCTTCGTTAGTTCTCGATAGTTCTGTAATATTTACGTTAGTTCTCAAAAAAATAAAAAAGTTACGAGGCGTACAAAGTGAGTACGCTGACTTCAAATTTATAAAATTTCCAGCGGGCACCGTTTTCCGACTAAAAACGCTTAAATCTATATACCAATTTTTAGTTCCATGGATTGTAATTTGATTCATCTTCTCACAATGAAAATCAAAGTAACACTGACTTTAGAATAACTATCACATTATGATTCTCTCGAAGAGAAAGGATTGCTTATCAGTTCCAGGATAGCGCTTATCTGTGATATCCGCAATAGTAGTTGCAGGTGTCACTCGGTTAGATTAACAGTTGAATATGTTCAGTTAATTAGAACATCCAAAAAAGACAACGCTTCCAAAAATTGGTTTTAGATAAGCAATGAAATCATATTTATACCTACTTAGTTGTGTGAAAAAGTGCATTTTATAAAAAGTCCATCATGGAAACAAAATAAACTATCCATCAAAATGAAAACCAGAGTCTGCTAAGTAAAATGGTATAAAGTAATTTATAAGCAGTGATTATTTGAATTGGATTAAGCAGATAAAATATGTACGATCAAAGAACTTCTGTTTGGTTAATTAAACTAATCGTTTGTATTGTTTGTATTTGTTTGTGTTCGGTATTAGTATTATAAAATTACATCATTAAACGTAACACGTTACGAGTGACAGTTGCACGGATCGAGACTGGAAGGTCATACGGACTTGAACAAACTGGAGACTGGAGTAGTGGATGGAATAAATGTGTACAACACATTACTAGCATGGCGTATTGGGTATGGCGGGGTCGAGACAATATTTATTTAGTTGTATAGTAGTATACTGTAAGCATTTTTCGTTGAATGAAGGTGCGCGCTGGAAATCAGAAGCATTAAATAAGTTTATCTATTGATTATTGGCTATACGTATATTTATTTAATTTTTGTAGAACTAACAAAATAAATGAGTGAGCCCATCTTACGATTAATATTAAGATATAGGCACTTTTAGTCAGACAAGGGTGCACGCTAGGAATGATTTGGGTTTGAGGTTGGCATAACCACGTTTAAGACCTTATTGCCTTTTTATTTTTTAAGAACTAGTAATAATATTGGGGAACTAACACGACATAACGAAGAACTAAAAATTGGTAAATAGATATAAGCGTTTTTAGTCAGAAAACGGTGCCGCAGGAAATTTTATAAATTTGAAGTCAGCGTACTCACTTTGTACGCCTCGTAACTTTTTTATTTTTTTGAGAACTAACGTAAATATTACAGAACTATCGAGAACTAACGAAGACCTAACGATTGGTATATAGATATAGGCATTTATAGTCAGAAAAAGGTGCCCGCTGGAAATTGTATAATTGTGAAATTAGCGAACCCTCTTTGTATGCCTCGTAACTTTTTTTATTTTTTGAGAACTAACGTAAATATTGGAGAACTATCGAGAACTAACGAAGAACTAACGATTGGTATATAGATACAGGCATTTATAGTCAGTAAACAGTGCCCGCTGGAAATTCTATAGTTGTGAAGTTGGCGTACCCACTTTTTATGCTTCGTAACTTTTTTATTTTTTGAGAACTAACGTTAATTTTAGAGAACTATCGAGAACTAACGAAGAACTAACGATTGGTATATAGATATAGGTATTTATAGTAAAAAAACTGTGCCCGCTGGAAATTCTATAATTGTGAAGTGTGCGTACCCACTTTGTATGCCTCTTAACTTTTTTATTTTTTGAGAACTAACGTAAATATTGGAGAACTATCGAGAACTAACGAAGAACTAACGATTGGTATATAGATATAGGCATTTATAGTAAAAAAAACTGTGCCCGCTGGAAATTCTATAACTGTGAAGTTGGCGTACCCACTTTTTATGCTTCGTAACTTTTTTATTTTTTGAGAACTAACGTTAATTTTGGAGAACTATCGAGAACTAACGAAGAACTAACGATTGGTATATAGATATAGGTATTTATAGTAAAAAAACTGTGCCCGCTGGAAATTCTATAATTGTGAAGTGTGCGTACCCACTTTGTATGCCTCTTAACTTTTTTATTTTTTGAGAACTAACGTAAATATTGGAGAACTATCGAGAACTAACGAAGAACTAACGATTGGTATATAGATATAGGCATTTATAGTAAAAAAACTGTGCCCGCTGGAAATTCTATAACTGTGAAGTTGGCGTACCCACTTTTTATGCTTCGTAACTTTTTTATTTTTTGAGAACTAACGTTAATTTTGGAGAACTATCGAGAACTAACGAAGAACTAACGATTGGTATATAGATATAGGCATTTATAGTAAAAAAAACTGTTCCCGCTGGAAATTGTACAATTGTGAAGTTAGCGTACCCACTTTGTATGCCTCTTAACTTTTTTATATTTGAGAACTAACGTTAATATTGGAGAACT